TCTGAACCAAGGAGCTAAATGAGTCTATGTGTATAAGTGAGCTGAGAGATGATTCTGCAGAGTTGTTGGGAATCATTCTTCTTCTTGCTCTGGATCTGGTACGTTTTTGATCTAGTGGAATTCTTGCTAGCTTGAGAAAACAAGCCCCAGAGACGTAGCTTCGGCGAACCCTGGGTTAACAAATCGTGTTTGTCTTTTACTTTCTTTCTATCTTGCTTAATCTCATGATTGTTCTTATTGGAGTTCATAGACGAATGAGATTAGTGAGGAATTGAGCAGAGGGATAGGGTTCGATTCTTGGTTTCTATCGCAACATTGATGATTCTGATAAATCAGTTTCATAATTTGTACTTCTTTGGCTACTACAGTCAAATACCTGTTTATCATGTTCTTCCATTGATTCTGCAAGTAATATTTAAGTTCAATGATCATATTTATATTCAGGTTTTAGTATAATCATGATTTAATAATTTACCTTCTGTTTTATAGTCATAATTTCAGTAACTTCCTTCTTTTTGTGATTGTAGCACCTCTTAATGTTCATTGACAAATGCAGCTTGCTCTGATCTAGAATTTCGAGTAGGTCTTGCTGAACTTGATGGTAAGTTTGTAATGTCATTAAGTACATTGTTAGATTGCCTTCTGAAATCTCTAAAACCATTTATCTGTGTAGTGGTCAATCCTTTAAAGCTGTTCTGTTTTGCTATATAAGAAAAACATGTGATTAATTTTGATTTGAAGTTTTCATTCAGCATTTAAATGTGTTAGAAAAAAAGTTATAATTATTTCAACAACTTACATGAATCTTGTTCACTCTTACGATTCTTTTTAGGAGCTTTATGTTGGGATTTATGAGACAAAGGCATTCACTTGATGAATGAAACCACTTAACCCACATTAAGAACTCGATCTCAATAGTGAGGAACCAATCAACTTGTGATGGAGAGAATCGATCTTAACAAGGGAAAAATACTCTAGTTAAGTAACACAACACTTAGAGTTTGTGTACTTAGAGAAAGAAAAATTTTGAATCAGTAAGCTAGAGATTAAGGAGAGAATAAAGAAGAGTTTATGTGATTTTTACAAGTATTAGGCTGCCTTAATGCATCCTCTAAACCGTGGCTCACTAAACTCACTACATTATGATTATTGATTAAGCATAAGAAGAAGAGAAAGAGCAACACGAAATGAAGAGACAAAGAACTTGTCTATATTATTGGTGTGTCTATATATAGAGACAACGAAGTTGTGGAAGCCCTAGCACATTTTACAAGATCGAGAGTGACATAAAGAGAGAGAGAGTCTCTGGTTTAAATGGTGAAAGTGACAGGTCCTTATTTTGAATTTAAATTAAGTGAACATGTGACTTTTGTCTCCAACAGCTATGGGCACCTTCTTAGAGTGATAGTGACCTCTCCTAGGTCACTTTTACACTCACATGTGACTCCTTGCAAGATATCTTGCTTCCAAGCACATGTGATACCTCCCTTTGGCGCCTAAACCCAAATTGAATTTATTAGCCACCTTCTCTTCTTTTCTTCATGGGCTGCTGAGTCTAGATATTTTTTGAGCCTTCATTGTAACCATACGATTCGGCCCATACAGTTTGATTCATGTCTTGGGCCTTCATTGTAACATTAAATTTGGTTCTTGTTTACTAACCTTGGTAGAAAATGATTTTGCCAAACCTTAGTAAACAAATTACTGGTTGTTCACCAGCTTTTTGGCAAAGTGTAGTAATTTGATCAGCAAATTTACCCTATAGATAACATGATAGACGTTCATCCCTAAACCAAAAAAAAAAAAGTTTTGTAGAGAGTTTATAAATGTAACAAACCTTACATCTTTTTCCAGTCTAGAACTTAGTGTCTCTTAGGTAAAACTCAACTTTCTTCCTGTCTTTACCACCCACTTTGAACAGTTTCAAGTTCCTTCATGTCCAACACTTCACCTATAATATATGTATAACAAAAAAGCGACATCAAAGCCTACCTTTTGAACTCATAGTCACGATCATTAGGAAGTTATTGAGAACATTTTATACTTACGAACATATAACATATTACATCTTAAGAAGTCATTTCATATTCACGATCAAATATATGAAGTTAACATTAACTTACCAATCAAAAATTGAGTTTTCAGATTTCCACTTGTAATCTGGGTAAATCTGGTCAATGACAGAAAGTTGTCTTCCAATTTGATCAAGTATCGAGAGACAGAAGTGGTGCTCACAAAAGCGATCTTGTAAACATGAGTAGTAAGTCTGAAATTCCCATTGGCTGGAGTTAAAGAGAAGTTCTCAATAACTTTCCATGATCCAATAAGAAGTTCTTATTCAACAGTTTGAGCCATGTTTTCTTACATGAATAATGAATCTTAACACCCTACAAAAGATAAAGAAGATTAGCTTTGAAATGAAAATGATGATCAAAATATTGTAGAAATAAAACGTTAGTGGTTCTGTTTTAGTACAAGCACATCAGCTAATATGAGTTCAAATGTTTCTCCAAATTGCGCAGTGTATTGTTTCCAGGAATAAAGAACTTTCACCTGATTTCTCCAGCTTGTCTTGTAAGGTGAACATGATTGCTGTCGAAGAAACCAATTTTTTTGGCTATGTGAGTGATCTAAGATTAATTCTCGTTGAGAGCATCAGCAACCCAAAAACTCTCATGGTCTCTTATTCAGTATTTTAATATTATAATTGAATTAGAGACTTGCTTATGAGACTTATACAATTTGTATGGTGCAATGCAGAAACTCATCAAAGAATTGAAAAAAAAAAGCCCAAGCAAAATAATTATATTTTCCCCATATTTTTTGACCTCTAGACACATGATATCTGGCCCAAGAGACGTTTCTCCCCGTCGCCAGATAAGAGACGTTTTTACAATGTAAGCCCAACTTTCTCAACTTTTATTATTAATATTTGAAGAGACCCATTAAAAGACCCCGTTAATGATGGTCTCAACTTTCTCAACTTTTATTATTAAAATATTTGAAGAAACCCATTAAAAGACTCCCTTAATGATGGTCTGAGTGGTGGAAAAAATATTAAATGATCTCTGATATATATAGATTTTACGTTAAATATGTTTTCAATGATAAGATTTGATATGGAGATTTTCGTATAGATTTGATGTATAGAAAATGGTAACTTATATTGATATATTTTTGTGAAATTGTGAGAATATTCTGAGATGTAGCGAGATTTCATGGATTTGATGTCATCTTCTCTAAACTATTTGTAATCTTCCATTTATTTTGATATTTTTTTATAATTAGTTATAATACCTAACAAAATCTGTTTGAAAATAATGGAAATAATTAATTGAAAGTTTCTTTGTTGACAATCATAAAAGTTTTTTTGTTGACAATCATAAATATCTAACAAAAGTGATTTTGTTGGGTAAGATGTATAATTCTAAACAGATTTAGTTAAAAAAAATTAGTTGTTTAAAAACAAAGCACTAAAAATATTTTTGTTTTAATAGAATAGATATAGATATGTTATATTTTCTCCATCGACAACATGAATATACCAATAAATATGTATATAGTTATAGTTATATATATTTATATATAATTTCATATGTATGATAAGTATATTTAAAATTTTGTATTATTCAATGGTTTTGAGAACGAGTTGCATTTTAAACAAGAGAAATTCGCCCTAAAAACTTTTCAGCCGCCAGCGCCGATCTGGCTCTCTGGCGGCCGGCGCTCCTCGCCACCATCGGGGAGGGCCCTCTCCCTTGTCCCTTTCCTCTTTTTTTTCCTAGTGTCTCGTTTTGGTCAAAGTGCTACTTGTTGGGTTTTTGAGATGGCCTTTCCCTCAACGGTGTCGTTGGAGTCCAGTGAAGGTGGTGCGTTAGCGTCGCCTCTGTTGGCCGGTGTTGCCACCTACTCCGCTGGTGGGCTGTGTCGAGCCCAATCTCTCTCTCTCTCTGGTTTCTGCAGGCGAGTTGAGAAGATCTGGTGTCTCGACTCGGCGAGGGCTTTCCGCCGGTGGTGACTCATGGAGGTTTGTCTCAGCGGTGCTCTTGTGGATCTGTTGTAGGCTCGGCGACAGTTGCTAACGTCGAGCTATTAGGTTTTTGCTCTTTATTTGGCCGATAATTCGAAGTGAATCAAGAGGCTAGATCTATTCTTCTCCAGCAGTGCGAGGCGTGGAGCAATTGCCTCCTCAAAGCAGAGCGGTGTTGAGTGTGGCAGAGGTGGATCCGACTCGCGACTATTCCGTTGATCCTTACTGCTAGAGGATGGCGGTGGAGATCAAAAGAAAGCTGATTATCGACTACTCTGCAGGTCTGTGATGCTAGAGGACGACCGAAGGAGATCAGAGGAAATGAGTCATGGGTTTACTAATGCTGCTACAAGACGCATTACGCAGCAGAATCGAAAAAGTAATTCGATGGGAAAGCATTGTACGTTATAAAGAATTAGTGGGAGTTGGTGATTCTGCACATGCGATGGTGGTTGTGGGCTTAGCGACCCGTAATTTATCTTTGTGCCGCTTTATTTGTAGGTCAAATAAAAAATTAGGTTTTGAGTTTGGATTGATTTTATACTTTTGGTTTAATTCGATTGTAAATCCGGTTGATCACCGGTTTGGATGGTAAATTTATATAATATTTATATTTAAAAAAAAATTCGTATCATTCTCTCACATACTTATATACAGTATGTATGGATTGATACCCGCATATACCTATATATAAGTATGTATATTACAAATTTTGTAATACTGACCAATCCTCTCGTGCATATACGTGCGGTGCAGTACCTTATCTATTATCGAAATGACATCAAATATAGAAGAACATTTTTATTACACGATCTCTAATCTGGCGTCATTAATGACAACAACCTTATCTTGTCTTAAAAGAAAAACAGCTAGCACGCTTTAAATTGATTTGACTTAACACATCAGGTTCCACAAATAGTCAAGTGGAACTAAAAAAAAAACAGATAGATTACAAAAAAGATTAAAAAAACAACATAGGGAATTCGTCTACTTGGCATTCATCTCCAATTCTCCATCGATCTCTCTCACTTACACGAAATTCGAATTTTCCATCTTTTAACATATTTAAATCTTCTTCCTCGAATCACATTTTTCTGTCTCTTTCGCTGATATTTTCCCGAGAAGAAATTTGTCCACCTGACGCCTGAATCCGAATCTGCCTTGCAAACTAATTGGATCGAAGAACCGACACGTTCTCCCTTTGAATTTCTTACTTTCTTCTCCTTCCTGTCTCCTCTTTTGTTCCTCTCGTATTCACATGATCGATTTATCGTCTTGAAGTTGCTGTGATTTTCTCGGATTACAATGGCGGAACTTAGATCTAATCGTCGTAGTCTGAGATCGTTAATCGTTCTCTTTCTCAATCTCGCTCTAGCTTTTGCCTTCGTTTCCGCTGAGAGGAGCTTTAAAGGAAAATCTCTCAAGTTTTATTCACAAACGCGAGAAAGTGACGAGCCCAGTTTCTTCCTCAGAGCAGCGAATTTTCTATGGGAATCTGATCAAACAGGTTATCATCATGTCTGGCCCGTAAGTTACAGAAACTTAAAGCCTTATTCGCTAACTGATTATTTTTCATAATCAATACTCTGATGCGAAAGTTGTGCGTGGCTATCATCTCTTTGATATATCAACTCTGATTCGGAATTACAAAAATCAAAATTTCAGGAATTTGAGTTTAACTGGCAAATCGTTCTCGGCACTCTCGTTGGATTCTTTGGTGCTGCGTTTGGTAGCGTAGGAGGTGTTGGTGGAGGTGGGATTTTCGTGCCAATGCTCAGTTTAATTATTGGCTTTGATCCAAAATCCGCTACAGCGATGTCAAAATGTAAGAAGTATCATGAGTAACATTCTACATTTTCTCTTTGGTGTAAACATTTTTGTTTATATGATATGATACATTTTTATAGGCATGATCATGGGTGCTTCTGTGTCAACTGTGTATTACAATCTTAGACTGAGGCATCCTACGCTTGATATGCCCATTATTGACTATGATCTCGCACTCCTGATCCAACCGATGCTAATGCTCGGAATCAGCGTTGGGGTTGCTTTCAATGTGATTTTTCCAGATTGGATGGTCACTGTTCTACTCATCATCCTCTTTCTAGGTAAGACTCAAAATGTATGGCTTTTTTCGCATCAGTGTTAGACTTGGAATGACCATTCTTTTTATCAATTTATGCAGGCACATCAACAAAAGCGTTTTTGAAAGGCTCTGAAACTTGGAAGAAGGAAACTATAGAGAAACAGGTACATCTCTAACATCTTGCAAGGCACCAATTTTTGGTTTTTGTAATATATTTTTGTATAGTCTTTCAGCCTCCTCTAGTTGATACCAGTAGCGTATCATTTTAGTGTTAGACAGTACATACTAAGATATAGCTAATTTCTTGCAAGGTGCCTCTTTCTAATTTTGGCATGAAGTATACTTTGATGTCCATTCTAGGATATTGGTTTTATGAACTTTCGCCCTCTTCCAATGGACCTCTAGTTGAATGCATACACAATATCTTAGCTAGACAGTACAATAACCATCAAAACTTTTATTCTGTTCTGTTCTGCAGGAAGCTGCTAAGCGTTTAGAGTCGAATGGTGAGTTGGATTTTTGTTGAGGTTTTAACATTTTTTCAGCGACCACCATTTGACAACCTTGTTTTGCTTTATTAGAAGAAAAAAACAAAAGCTCATATAATCCAACTTTTCATCAGGTGTATCTGGGACAGAAGTTGAGTACATGCCTCTTCCCGCAGCTCCGAGCACCAACAATAGAAACAACAAGAAAGAAGAAGTAAGTCCCATTCTCTTCACGTTACCGTTGGTTTCTATGTTTGCAAGTTTTGTCAAAATGTAACCAATTTAATGTAATGCAGGTTAGTATTATTGAAAATGTATACTGGAAGGAACTGGGGCTTCTGGTTTTTGTCTGGGTTGTTTTCCTGGCACTGCAGATAACAAAGGTCAATGCACATACATATCTATCGATTGAGCATATTAGTCATGTTCAACCTTTATTGATACTTTTTCATGTTTTTTTTTTCATGGAAACAGCAAAATCTGGCTACTTGTTCAGTAGCATATTGGGTCATAAACTTGTTACAGGTATAGAGTCAATTACAATCTCGTTTTTGCTGATAGATCCAAGATTAATGCTTATAGATGCTTACGATTTCGTACCATCATGCAGATACCGGTTGCAGTTGGTGTATCAGGCTATGAGGCAGTAGCTTTGTACCAAGGTAGAAGAATCATTGCATCTAATGGACAAGGAGACTCGAATTTTACCGTTGGTCAGCTTCTTCTTTACTGTACTTTTGGCGTATTGGCGGGAATAGTCGGTGGTTTACTTGGTTTAGGTGGAGGTTTCATCATGGGTCCATTGTTTTTGGAGCTAGGTGTTCCGCCGCAGGTAAGAATCTACTAAGCTCTGCAAATATTATACTTCATAAAGAACATTATAATCAAGAATCACTTGTTCATGTTATTTTATTTTTATTTTTTGTAGGTTTCAAGTGCCACAGCCACATTTGCAATGACTTTCTCTTCATCAATGTCTGTTGTAGAATACTATCTTCTCAAACGATTCCCTGTTCCATATGGTGAGTTGCTTTGTCATTGCTTTTGATATAAGGCTGTTTTTCTTACCCTCGGGATCGATAACTTCCCAATATCTGCTTACTTTTTGTGCAGCTCTCTACTTTGTGGGAGTGGCAACAATTGCAGCTTTGGTTGGACAACATGTAATCAGAAGACTGATTACAGTTCTTGGTCGAGCATCTCTCATCATCTTCATCCTTGCCTCCATGATTTTTATCAGCGCGATATCGCTTGGTACGTGACCTCTTTCTCACCTAAAACTATATTTCTCTTCCTTATCTTGCTAACTTGTGCGTGTCTGTGAGTCACACTACCTTCCTACACACTCAATCATCCTAATTCCTAAGCTACAAACTAGTAGATAACCAAAGAGGTGGTGGCCTAGTAGATAACCAAAGGGAGCGAGATAGATCTTTTTATTTAGCATATATTAGTTTTTAGTATTTGCTTTGATTCGTAGCTTTTGCGCAGCATCTTTTAATCATCTTTGGAAGATGTTCAATTTTAGATATCATTTGTTCTTAGGTGGCGTGGGAATAGTGAACATGATCGGCAAATACCAACGGCACGAGTACATGGGTTTCGAAAACCTCTGCAAGTACAGTGGTTAAACGTTTAAAGAATTTGGCTCAAGTTACGATACTTGGATCATGTCGGAGACAATAATCTCGGGCTTTTTATCTTTTTTACTGAAGCCAAATCGGCTGTACTCAGTAACTTATTAACCTGTAAAGTTTCTCATTCATTATTTTGATGGCAAGACTTATGGTCTTCTGATTTTGTGTCATTTCTTTAGACTAGGGATTAAAGCGCGGGTTTAATGTATTCTTATACAATGTATGTTTGTTTAAAATATTATATTTACGCGTATATTAATATTTTTTCAAGGAATGTTGTTAATCTCATCCCTAATTTTATATTAATATATTAATGGCAACATACTAAAACATTTAATCATTTTGGAATATTACGAATTATTATATACTAACATACACAGTAATGAATGAAGTTTTCGTTCACATTCTATTTTTCAAGCCTAAATTTAGTACAAAACTGACTTGAGCAAGTGGCTGAAATTCCACAATGTAGAAAACAGGCCCTGTTCTTTTTATAAACGCTGCGTCAGCGATCTGCGACCAAAAAATACACTGTGGAGAGTTTAAAAATGTCGTCCGTCTTCACATGTATGCGACGCTGCGATTGTTTTTAAAGATGACGCCGGTGTCGTTGGCGACGCTAGGAAAATACAGCGTCAAACCTGATAGTCGCTGCGGCTACTTTTAAACGGGATGCCGGTGGTAGTCTCCACCTACTTGGATGAAAAGCAACTAATAATTATTGTAACTGATTGCTGACGCAGCGTTTATGAAAAGAACAGAGGTACAATGGAATGCCATAATCTAATAATTATTTTAGTTTTGATTTTTTTTTAATATCGAAAACCCTACCTTCTCCCTTACATTTCGTTTTAATTACAATAAAATCAGAGTAACTTCATCCGATTTTAGATTAATCCGATAATCCTACCCATTTATATTTATTAAGTTTTTTTAATTAAAGAAAATGGAACAGTGTTCTTTTCATTTTCCTTTTCTTCTCCTTTTATTCTTCTTCTTTTATTCTTCTTCCTACTCCCCAGAATCTCCAAAAAAAGGAACTCACTTTCTCAACTTCCTCTTTCTTCCTTTGAAACCGTTTTAGCCTTAATCTCCTTTTTCCGGCGAGCGACTAGATCCTGATCAGGAATCGCGAATCCGACAAGCCCTAATAGTCATTCTTCCATGAGATTTCTCCATATGGCAAAGGTGAGAAAAGATGGCAAGGTGTATGAGTCTACTCAAGTCGGAGCACCAGCGGAAGTCGAAAACCTGGTGGATAATGCAAACCCAAAAACTCTGGCGCAAGTTGAAAACCCGGCAAAAAACAAAAATCCAGAAACTCCGGCGCAAGTAGGAAACCCGCTGGAAATCAAAAACCCAGAAAATCCTGCTGAAATTGAGAATGCTGAAGTGACCAATCCAATCCCCAAAGCAGCAGCGTCCACACCCACAGAATCAAATCCTCCGATGCTAAATGGTGGTGACGGGGAAGAAGCATGGCGGGATGAAGCGCGAGAGGATGTAGCATAAGAGAAGGAAAACGAGAAGGAAAATGAAGAGGAAGAAGTGCAAGAGAAAGACCCGGAAGAGAAAGAAGTGGAAGAGGAGGATGAAGCGGAAGAAGACAAAGTGCGAGAGGCTCATGCGCCTGAAGATGAAGCGCAGGAGAAATAAGTGCAAGAGGAGGAGGATGAAGCACAAGAAAAAGAAAACCAAGAGGAACAAAATCAAGGGGAAGAAAATCAAGAGAAAGAAAACCAAGAGGAACAAAATCAAGAGGAAAAAATGCAAGAGATATGTATAAGATTCCCAATTGGGTCAAATTTATTACAGGTTAGGTTATGAGAAGATAGTATCGGGAAATGTAGGTGTAGTAGTATTTGGACAACTGTGACAACTTAGGTAGATAAAAATTTGATTGGTATGTGGACAACTGGGACAACATTTATTCGGTTTTAGGTAATATGTGGACAACTGGGACAACATTTTTTGGTTTTAGGTAATGGACAACTGGGACAACATTGTCTTAGTTGTAGGTAAGATATGGACAACTGAGACAATAATGTTCGGTTTTTGTAATATGTGGACAACTGGGACAACATTATCATGTTGTATTTGTATTTGGACATATGGACAACTGAGACAACATTGTCATGTTGTATTTGTTTTTGGATATATGGACAATTGGGATAACATTTTTATTCGAAATTGAGACGAGTAGAACAACAAACACATAATAATTATATCAAATGTATCCGAACAACACAACACATAAGAGGATCAGACTTCTACTTTAAGACATAAGAACAACACAGCATTAAATTATGATTACAGACTTCTACTTAAAAATTTAGAAACCGCAGCAAACACCAGAAAAAAATACAATTATCATATATACATCACCTCGGTTGGCAATCAATTCCTTCATCCTTTCAATCTCCCTTTCCGACCCAGCCAGGAGCTCTCTTAGTTGCCTTATTTCGGAACCATGTGTCTCAAGCGAGGTAGTCTCGTGAAGGCAATTCGCACAACTCCCATGTTGTGCATGCATTGCATCCTAGAATTGACATTAACAATTCGAATTTTCAGGCACGATAGTTCTTCTGTAACAGCGTCATCCCACCATTCCCATATGTGGTCATGATTCTGACTAGGTCCCTTATACGAAATAAAGCACAAAATAAAAAACAGATTCAGCTATATTGAAAGAAAATCCCTAATCCCAAAACAAAATGAATAACATATTTACCTCAATCGTCCAATCTGGACAGGTGTACATTTTCCTCCCTCGTGTAGCTTCAGACTTCGATTCCCTAATAACTATAAGACGGCCACACCAACACGTTTCTCGCTTACCCCAATCTCCATCAGCTTGGAAGTAAGAGCTGTTGATCGAGTGTATGGAAGAAGAGGAGCCTGAACTGTAACTCGGCATCTTGTTTGGCGGAAACCCTAGATTTTTGATTTTGGGGAAACTAGTAATTAAGAGAAATGGGAATATATTAAATAATTGATTCGCTGCCTTTTATAGTACAGAAGTGAAATTATCAAAACACAACGTTTCTTCCTCTGGGACAGAATAAAACATTAAACATCTGAATTTTAACATATACGCCGGCGCCGCAAAAATCAAATAAACATGTGCTTCAAGTCGCAAAAATTAAAAAATACCACATAGTTGTACTTACGCGTCCTGTTGTCTAAAATTGTTAGTAGTTGTCCATTTTGGTTTTCCCAATTGTCTTAGGACATAAATCAATATTTTATAGTTGTCCACATAACTATACATTTATGAAAGCTATTTATAAATGGATAATAATAAAAATTTAGCAAAATCATATAAACTGCATTTTTTCCATCATAAGATGGTTCCTTTAACAAAGGCTTCCATGTATCATATGAGGTATTTGAAGTGAAACCAATATTTTGTTATAGTAAACCAATATTATGTTGTATTAACCCTTTTAATTTTTTTTTCTTATTTAGTATATAAATGATAGTATTCTAAAGTTTGTATTTAATTTATTTAGGTATGTTCTTTGATTTTTTTACATTAGAATTTTTACAGCATTTTAACATATAGGTGTACCTTGTTATCTAGTTATCCCATTCTTCGAATAATTAAAAATAGTCTTCGTCCAAGCAAAATAAGTTAGTAGTTGAACTTGGTTGTCTAGTTGTCCCAGTTATCCGAAAAATAAAAATACCATTACAAATACAAAACATATATTAGTTGTACCTTGTTGTCTAGTTACCCAGTTATCCGAAAAATAAAAATACTATTACAAATACAAAACATATCTTAGTTGTACCTACATGTCCAGTTGTACCTTAGACAAAAACCAAATACAAATACAAAGATCACAAACAAACTTAAAGTGTACTTGGGTTTTCACTTTGGTTTTCACCTGGGTTTCCACTTGGGTTTGCAGTTGGGTTTAATGGCTCAAACCAACGTCCAAGATGCATGTATGCCTGCGTTGGCCCTGTTACTTCGTTCAGGGTGAGCTTCACCGGTGGAGGGATAGCGCTTATCTTGCTTTCTTCCTACTTTTTTGTGTAGTCTGAATGTAAAACGACTAACTTTCCGATTACCTCTAGAATAATCTAAGTAGACTGAAATAAGTAAAAGCTTTCATTCTTACAGCATGTAGATACCATGAACAACCATGTTCAGCTTGACGGCATCTTAGTATGAGTCGCCGCAGATCCGACTTTATAGTTTTTACCTCAAAACATCCCTTATGTGAAGCTATGTTGACCAAAACTCGCAAAACTTCATTCGATCGAAATTCTTGATCTTTTTCAAAACCAGCACCATCATCCCATTCTAGAACAAACCGAGCTTGTTCTACAGGCTGTGGAGGCTCAACATGATCATGTTCATCTGCTTCTTCATGCATACCATCCAGACCCTCCTCATTCTCATCTAGTACCACATTCTCATCCTCTATCAGGTTCTGTTGTCCCTGTTCTCCCCCAACATTCTCTATCAGGTTTTATTGTTCCTGTTGTCCCTCTGCTTCTTCTTGTTTGTAAACAGGCAACTGGTCCTTAATATCAGGCACGTTATCTGCTCTTAGAAGCTCCTCACATAGCTCGCCTCTCTTTTCTCTTTCCATATCTTCCATTAGCTCCACAATCAAAGCAGATCTAAGTCCCTTTTTATCCACAGTTGTTAGATAAACATAAACATCACCAATACATGACTTCCTTATGAGGCTTAGCTCCCAACATAATATAGCTTAATTTCAGATTCCTCGTACTGTCGTTTTTGCATATACCATCTACAAGCACCAAATATGTTAACTCGTCCATAGATATATTTCTAAATGATATAGCATATGATAGGATTTCTTGAATTCCATTTAAACTCTTCTCCTTCTTGTGAATAATATCCTCCATACTCAAAATCTATGTTTGTGCGGCTGCTCATTCTCTCCTGGAAATACAAACCACTTGTCTAAACATAGAACACTACAATTCAGCTGGATTCAACAACAATCATCGACTAATCGACCCATATAGGTGTTTTAAATATCCAATTTGCATACTGAAACTAAAAAATTTCACAAATCAAGCCTCTAACTTCTAAATCCACAAATTACACAAAACTATACCTAATAACTTTGTGGAAGAGGAGGAAGACAAGTGCAGAGGAGGAGGACGACATGGTGGCTGCTACGGTCCGGCGAGATGGGTCACGATTTGAGCTCAAGATTCAGCTCAATAAAAATTCGATCAGGAAGAAGAGAGCAAGAGGATGAGAGGAGAGCGTGAAAAAAAATATTCAATTTTGCTGAATTTAATATATTATTTATATCTCTTCCCAGTTAGTATTCTAATACAAAATTATCAATTTAGTCATCGAATTTGGAGAGTAAAATCACAAATGCCACAATCTCATTTCATTAAGGGTAAAAACGGATTTACACATCAGTTATGCCATCTAGACTTGGTTATGGCACAAGAAATCATCTCCTTCCAATTTATGATATTTGAGCCATTAATTCAACTGACTTTGCATTATATGATACTGAAGAACCAAAAACCGATATAACAATTAAATGCAGTTCGTATGTTCTACCACCATAAATCTATGCAGTGCATAGCCCTGGGCATTCGGATACGCGATCGGGTTCGGATCGGGTTTTCCGGGTAATCGGATTTTCGGATTTGAACTTTATAAACCATTCGGTTATTTCACAAAAATCGGTTCGGATTGGATCGGATCGGATTTAGCAAATAAAAACCGAAATAAACCGAAACAATTTGAAATCGGATAAATCGGGTTAGTTAAATCCGAAAAACCCGAAAACCCGAAAAAAATTCTACAAAAACCGAAATTGCAATAACAAATAAAACTAAACAAAAATAGCAAAAAATGGATCAAACGTAACAATGCCTCACAATATTCATACTCCAACCATCTTAGTTCATACTAAAAGATCAAAACTCCAAACCATCTTAGTTCATACTTAGTTTAAAAATAAAATATCCAAACCATCAAAGTCCAAACCATCTTAGTTCATACTAAAAGGTCAAAATGACAAAGAGAATAAACAGGAACTAAGATAGTGCATAACTCCAGCCTCCAAAAAGTGTGAACTTCATAGCAAATCAAAGATGCATCTGAAACGACAAAACCGATCTCTAAATAAAATTAGAAACCAATACAAATGATATAACAAAACAAAACCAAATTCAATATTTTGATACTACTTACCCATTGTCGATTGTTGAAGTCATTAATAGGGTGAGATTCAATCTTCGACACTTATTGGATCATCAAACTCTAAACAAAGAATTAAGAGAAGTTGAAGTTAGAACAAGTGAAATGATATAAAAATATAAATAAACAAGCCAAAACCATAACATACCTCTCATAAGGTTGTCCAAAAATTCATATTCAGAAGCGATTTGCTCCACTGTAACCAAGCCACTTTCACTTTTACACCGAATTTCCTCCTTCATCCATTGCTCCGTACACATCAGCACCTCCACCATATAATGAGTAAGACAGCTTCGAGCTGGAGTTATGATGCGTCCACAAGTGCTAAAAGCACTCTCAGATGCCACAGAGGAGACCTGCATTGCCAAAACATCCTTTGCCATTTGGGAAAGTATAGGAAACCTGGAACAGTTTGTTCTCCACCAGTCAAGCACGTCATACTCAACACCAGGTAATGTGTTCGCGACCTCAACACCCTCCTTAAGATATTTATCTAACTCGTCCCTTGTATCATTGACTCTTGTTTCTGCAACCTTTGCTTTGTAGATAGAATCCATCCTCTCATATCCCAATCCCAAATCATCATCTATCACTTCCTCTCTTAAACCTTGTGAATGCTCTGATGATTGTGCCTGGTTAGACTGTGAGGACTGCGAGTTTGGAGTTGAAGAGAATCTAGAGGAGTACTCATCAAATAGTGCTCGCAGAACCACTAGGACTGAGGCATTGAGTTCTTGTGCGTCTTTGCTGTTCTCACCATATAGCCTCGCAAAACACATGTTAGCTAAATCCATTTTTTTCTAGGATCCAATACTGATGCTATGATTAGCATTTTGTTTAAACCCTTCATCCCATCCCAATACTTGTCGAACTTGAGCAGCATTGCGTCAGCCTTTGTTCTTATTTCTGCGTCTGCACTTGTGGTAAGGTTCATCAAGGTTTTCTCGATGGTGACTATTTCCCCATAGCATTTGTAAGAGTTCAGAGTGGTTGAAGCTGATACCTGAAGAGTAGACTCATAGAAGACGACTAAAAAACGGTTCAACCTCTCAACATTATCCCAGTCAATTACAGAAGGAGGTCCAACTATTACTTTCCCATCTTCTAACTCAGTAAAATGATCAAGATACAGCTTATCCTCTCTGGCCATCCTGTCAAATGCATGTCTGTACTTCGACGCCTTATGCAACATCGTGTAAGTAGAATTCCACCTTGTTTTAACATCCAATGGCAAACTACCCCTTTTCAGCTTTCCAGAGTCTACTCTTAGTTCAAATGAACTCTGCCTAGTTGTTTTTGATCTAACATAACAGATAGCATTGCGAATTGCATTAACACTTGACTCTATTTTTTTCAAACCATCTTGCACAATCAAATTAATGATATGAGCACAACACCTTACGTGGAAATAATCACCACCGAGCACAAATGCTTCCAGATTTCTTAACCCAAATTCCCTATGAAATCTACTTATAGCAGAACCGTTCGCTGTTGCATTGTCAACAGTGATGCTAAACACCTTATCTATTCCCCATTCAGCAAGACAGTCCAAGAGAACAGTTGATATAGTCTTACCTTTGTTTAAAGCCGATGATGTACTTCTTTAGCCTCCAAAACATGTCCACAAAGTGAATAGTGATCACCATATAACTAGCCCCTGTTAAATAAAGAAAAAAATAAAGAAACCAGAGTTAACAAATAAA